GGAGTTGAAGGGAGTTCAAGGATTGTTTGGTAGAACATTTCCGAACCGGCAGGGGAGGAAACTTCTACAAGCAGTTGTTAGCCTTGACGCAGGATGGTTCAGTGATAGAGTACTGGGAGAGGTTCGAGTACCTTGTTAGCAGATTGGACTGCCTTTCTGAGACTAGTGCTAGAGGGGAACTTCATAAAAGGATTGACACTAGAGATCCAGGCAACAATTAGAGTAATAAGGCCTTGTGACTTGGGAGAGGCTATGGAGCTAGCTTAATTGGTAAATGATCAGAGACACTTGGAGAGAGAGACATGAGGCAGCAGCTCAGGAGGCCCATATAGGATGACCACCACCTTATTGAAATCCAAGGAGCCAACACCAAATACTCTCCCAGGGGACTTCGAAAGAAAAGACTGCGGAAGAAGAACCGCGGACAACATCAGGAAGCTCACAGAGACGGAATTACATGAGAAGAGGGTGAAGGGTCTCAGTTTCAAATGTGATGAGAGGTATACGCCAGAGCACAGGTGTAAGGACCGAACTCTTTAGGTTCTTACTATTTATGATGAGGAGGGAATGGAGGGAGTCGTCTTTCCATCTTGAGGACAATGTGGGTCTTTGAGAGGGGAGTATTGTTAGACTAGTCCACCTGTTCCATATAGGACCGGCTCACGCTAATAAGGGTAGAACTCTCCGCCTCCTATATGCATCGTGCAAGCTGCCAGTTACAAAAGAATTGTTTATGAAGGTTTTTTGAGAAAATTAGGAGGAAAATTTGAATGTAGGGACTATTTAGAGATTTTCTTCTGAATTGTATGCATTAAATAATTTATTTTCCTAGGGTTATGACATCTTAAATTTGACTGAAATTTGAGATCTCTTAGGTTTAGATTTTTTTGGGCTCTAACGGCGTCTTGGAATTTGTGAGAGAAAGATTATAACGACCCCAAGATCCGTGTAGCGAAAAGATTCATCTAATCGATCATTCATTTTTTTTTTCTTTCTTTTTCAGTTTCTATCGGTTTCCTCATCTATCCATCCATACATACATCCAGAGCCAGAGATAATTTAAATAATACAAATTATCTACTATTTTCTGGTTTTTGTGTGGATTCTTGCAGAGAATTTTTGCTATTTTCCAAAGATTGATGGAAAATTCTTGAGATCTTCAAGTGTTTCCTATCAAATTGACTTACTAGATTAAGCAACATCATATGCATTATGACATTGATAATTTGTTCTTAATAGCTCTTGATTTAATTAGCATGACTTGTCACTCATTGTATGATACTGCATTTTCAATAGCACTTCACATACATAGTTTTTATTCACATAAGTTACGAGTGGATATTAGTGAATGTTATTGCAACTATTTTTCAAATGAATTCACCTCAAGCATATAATAACGCTGATTATGTTTTAACTTACTCAACTCTCAACCTATGAATCCATCAACTACTACATCATGATTATAACCCTTGCACTTACAGCTAATTTTTTTGTTGTCTCCTGACATAATTTCTACTCATATTTTCATTACATATGATATATTTCAATTAAAAGGCTTATCAAGCATTAGGATATACAAACCCACTTATAGAAGATATGAGTCCACTTTCTAAAATTCTTGCCATTATCAATTATCTAACCGTAGATATTAAATCATTGGATGCAATAAAAGCTACTGATACTTCATCATCAGTACAGATACATGTAATATTATCCCTCTCACTTCATAATAAATTTTTTTAACTCTATAAGCATAATTTATAAAGTGGAGGGAGCTGCAGCAGGAAAGCCAAGAGTCTCTCAGTATATAATTTTCAAAGACATATTAGTATCACAATTAATTATATTTTATTTTTATATAAATTTAATAATATTTTATTGAAGAAACAAGAGTCGATCATGTGAGGTTTGAAGAAAATATTTTAAATATAAAAATCAATTAAAGCAATATATATTGGACCAAATTAAAGATTAAAAGAAAAAAAATAAAATACTTAACTGAAACCTTTAAATTGGAGTGGTGTTATTTGTTTTCAAACAAGGAGATATTTCTATGTGCTGTCATTATAGCATCTGGAGAAATATTCAAGGAGGTAATTTGGTATATTTCCTAGCGGTTTTTTTCCTCATTTTCAATAACACTTAATATATTATTTATGCCCCCATTGATTCAATGAAAAATAGCTTCGATCATGTCCAAAAATTTGAGTCTAATTGGGGTTGGTGTTTCCGGCTTTTGGATTGATTTGCAAATCAACCATAGTTAAGATTTATGAATATTAATATATTATCTTCTTCTCTCTTGTTTCTTATTGTTGCAATCCAAGTTTTAAATCGTACTATATGATTTAAAAGAGTAGCCTAGTTTGTGATTTTGACAATGACAAACAATATTGTTTGAATTATTTCATTCTTCATCAAATATTTTGAATGTTACTCTTATCTGTGAGTACTAACATTTCAGGAAGATTACACACTGCTCAAGACAACGAAAGACTCTAGACTGGGTAGAATAGGATGTGAAAGAGTCTGTAATTTTTTTTTCTTGAGTCAGACCACAAAACAGTGTATGCAAATTGAGTGACCATGCACACACACAGGGGGAGAGTTTTTTTTAAGAAATTTTTTTTATGTAGATCATACTATACGATTTTAAATCGTATTATACGATATATTGTGGCTTAACGGCTAACTTCTGTGAACTAATGATACTGTATGATTATGATCGTATTGTACGATTTGTTTTAACCCTAAATCCTAGCCGCCAAATTAATTTAATCAAGTTTTTAAGAATTAAATTTTGAACATATCGTACTGTACGATGTAAATCGTACTATACGAATATTTTGAAAACATGCTAAAATTAACCCCTGTGATTAGTCAATTAAATCAAGGTTTAATTAATGATTGATGATCTTACTATACGAATTGGATCGTACTGTATGATGAACCGAGGTGTTTTTTGGTTGTACCAAAGAACGTACCGGACGAAACCTTAATTTTTGAACTAATCATACTGTACGATTTATACATCATACAAGACAACCATAATAATTTTAACTAATCGTACTGTACGAATGGGATCATACCGAACGATGAACAGAGACGAATTTAGGTCATCCCAGCATTCGTCCTGTATGAACAGAAGAAATATAGTATATCGTACTAGACGATATTCGTATCATACTGTACGATGTATTGAAAAATTATTACATATTCGTACTCCTTCGTACTAGGACGAAAGCTGTTTTGAACTGATTGAACTGTACGTTCTATGATCGTGTTGTACAAACAGAAACAACTAATTTGAATTTTTATGGTTTCTTAAAGCCAATTATATAAACAATATTGTTATTCATTAAAAAGAGATAGAATAACGTAACTGTTGAAGGAACCCTTGAGAAGGAGCTTTTTGAAAAGATTCAGGTCTTGTGAAAGGAAGGAGAATGTGAGTTTGTGCATGAGTGAGAAGTAGTGTGAGGGGATCACACGGTTACTCCAAGCTAGTTGCACGCTTGCTCCTCCTGTAGCCTGGGTGAGTCTTGTTGGAGCTCTCTAGGGGGAGAGGCTTCAAGGCTAAAGTCCTCAAAGGTTCTCTGCCCTCTCCAGGAGGGAAAAAAACTTGAAGGTTCGCAAGCATAATCATTGCTCAACCATAATCCAGTCAACTATATTTAGAGAAGAAGGATGATTTTAGAACTCAAATACTTACAGGATCAAATCAGATTAAAGACTGTTAATTTATAAAACACTATTTTACCGGCAGCATATCTCTGGGACACTCTTCTATCATTTTTATCTGTAGTAACCCATAACGCATAAGCCAAAACCTTCTTATGTCCCCCTTCTCAAGAATAAAAAAAAAAGAAAACCCTTTATCCATTTCCTTGAGACCAAACTTTCTTACATTTTTTTCCCATAGAAATTCCTGTATTCAATCTTCAAATATAAGCCAAGCAAGGAACATATATGAGCAGCATTCATCAGGCCCTTCACCTATTAACAATATTATCCCACAGTACAATATTAGATGGTTCAATGTAAATACTGGTGCAGTATCTATGTCACGAGAAAAGTGAGGATCCAAAATTATGTACCTACATCACGAGATAAGCAATGTTGCAAAGTTATGCTTGTTCAACTGCCCAACAAGAGGGCAAAATTGCACGCTCAAGAGTATCGCATGGATTGATTTTTTATCATCATACACTCTTTTTAAAAGTTAGGCCAACAAAATTAAAATAAATTTCATAACAGATAGCACACAGACATTACGCAAAATATGCACGTGCATTAGTTTCTTATTATTTTAGACCCTTTTAAGAGTAGGGTCAACAAATTAAAATAAACCCCGTAGGGCATAGATGGCGCAATTGCAGGCTTAATGATGCTTAATATAAACATAAAAAATCGACACCCCTAACTATAGTACCACTTTTACATCCAATTTACAATTACAATGAAAATTCATATAGGTTCTATGAGCCCGAGCTAAATTCTTCCACAATGCATTTTATGCTTTCCGTACACGGATTGCACATGGTGCCATAATCATCACTCTCACTTCTTAACACCATATATAACCTCTTATTACCGAATCACAGTTTTTTTCTTCTTTCACTAGTATAATAAGTCAAAAATTCATCTTAAACATAGAGGAGGATTATGCTTCAACATTGGAACGTCATGCTAAAGTTAAACAGTGCAAAATAACCCCACAATATCATGCTAAATAATTTGCAAGATTGTTAAATAACGTACAAAATACAAAACTAAAATTTGGAGAGGACTTTCTAGAAATCCAAAGACAAACATGTTCTTAATGTAGTTACTAGTTATAGCTTCGCATAAAAAATTTAAAATAGAGGTAAGACGATATGAAAAGAAAGTTGCATCTTACTCATGTATTTGCTGAAAGACAAAACTTTTGATAGCATCATACATTAGCAATCATTTTCTTTCTTTATAAAGAAAAATACATAAGGAGAAGAAAGAAATACCTGGAAGAGCAGTCCTTGAAAACCACCTTCACATTCCAACTTAATTGATTTCTAAAGTAGATTGTAAAACAAAGTACAGCTCAACAGATGTTTGACTTTATCTATAAGTAAACTACTTTGTAAAATAATGAAATGACCAACTGCATCAGTTACGTTATCCTCCTTATCTTCTTCATGCTCTATAGTCAGACATGTCAATTTTAATAGCTATGCTTTCCGTTTAATCAAGGGAAAGGCGTTTCTTCATTGTTTCATAAACTACATAAGTAATACTTGCTGAAGGAACCACTTTGAGTAAATTTGGAAATAAGCCTTTGTAGAATCCAGAAACCCCTTCATGCTTGAGGGTTCTCCAGAATACATCTGACATTCCTTTATATGCATTAGCTGAATCGGCACGTTGTGCTTGCATTCTGCAGGTAATAAGACTAGTTATCATGCCAAGCCCCACGATGGTATAAAAAAAAAGAAAATAGAGAAACCTAGCATGCAAAAGTGAATCAAAGGTGAAGCAAGAATTACCTTGTTCTAATGACCTGTAAAGGATAAACACATGTTGCTCCCAAAGCTCCAGATACTGTTCCACAGCCCAATTGTACAAGAGGACCCGGTTCTACATTAAAGTTAACATTTCAGAATATTATGAAAGGAACCTATCATGCAAATATACCACCAACCAGCTTCCAAGGCAGTATTATCCCCACCATCAATAAGAAGATGAGGGGTTTGAAACTTCTCATCAATATAAGAAGAACATCATACAAAGGAAAAAAAATGAGGAAGGAACAAAATATAACTAGATACAAGCCTCTTACCACTATCTTTAAGAATATATGTTCTAGACATATCTTTTAGGGTCTCGTAGGCTGCAAGATCTATTCCAGCATAAGGGATCATCCCCAAGAGAGAAGGAACTAGGCCTCTGTAGAAGGCATGAGGTCCTTCTTGCATCCATATATTTCTCGACAGTGCACTCAGCTTTGGAACCTTTCCTCCATCGCAGGCATAAGTCTGCAATCGTGTCTTTACAAGATCCAAAGGATAAATAGCAGTCTGTGCAATTGCACCGGCAAACCCACCAGCAATCAGGCGTCCAGAAGCACCTAGGTCTCTCTTTTCTTCTCCTTTGGCAGTTACAATGAAATCTTTTAGGGTTTCGTAGGCATAAAATCTGATCGCACTCTCAGGTGCAACCTTAATCACATTTAGCCCATTCCCTCTAAAAAAACCCGAGAACCGTCCATCTTTCCATATGTCCTTTATTGCTGGAATAATGCGAGCACACTTAGTCTGCACTTGCATGAGCACTTTGAGACGGTCAAGAGGAGCCGTAGCTGTACGAGAAGTAGCTCCAGCAACCCCACCAGCGATTAAATACTTACTTGCATTTACATGCTTGCTGATCCCTTCAGGAATAACAGTCTGTTCACCAATATCTACAAGGCAAACTCTTTCCCAATATTGGTAGATGTTCTCGATGGTTGCCTCATGTGGGTAAAGCAGAAGAAAGTCCCTCCACTCTTCAAAAGTTATGATACCATTATTATCCTTATCAACATGCTCTACAAAACGAACTAGCTCCTCATCATCAATCTCAATTCCTGTAAAAATGCATTGGTTTGACTCATTAGATGAAATCCATCAACCACAAGGGAGACATTAACTTCAGTCAGGCAATTACATATTTATGAAGTGTTTCCAAGCTATCTTTCTTTCTCAGACTCGATAAGAGGCCTAAAATAACAACCCTTTAACAACCTTGAAACATACAGTTAGAACTCGATTAAGGCTTCGCTTGGAGAAGCTTTCTTAGAGTTTCTTAAAGCTGCTTTTTAGTACAAAAATTTTTAATTCAAGAAAAATTTGTACTAAACAAGCTTCTTTAAAAGGCAGTAAGAAAGTTGTTCAAAACGAAGCTTTAGTAGTTGCACAAAAATATATGCAACAGATTATTCATTTTAAAGATTTTGAGAAAAAAATGTCCTTTTAATCCATTTAAAAGAACCATTTCAACCATTTGAGTTCTTTTAAAAACTTATATTTTGATGTACGCATGAAACAATGTTGACAGCATTTCATTAAATTCTAATAACCTGAGTCAACTTCAAGCAAAAGGGATGAAATATCAGCATGTGGTAATCAGGAGTAACCTATACAACAAATATTTAGTGACTGAAAAGTGTCAAATATATCTGAAATATTCAAGAATTGAAACAAGCTAACATGCATGAAATGGATTGAAGCTTCATAAAACCAACATATTGAACGTCAAAAATAAATCCAATGGCCATCAAAATCATACCATGGGGTTAAATAAAGACTCGAAACTTCTTTGTAAGTCATGGCTAAAAAACTTGAAAAAAATCCCTAAATAATAACTACAGCATAGTTGTTGCAGTGCATAACAACCTAAAAAAGTTAGCAAAAGTCACAAATACATAAGTTCTCACACCAATCTATTGTTAGAAGAGTATCAAGAAACATTCAATCTAAAATTGAAAGCAGGAGATAAGAGGTTTAGTACGGTAGTTTTTTATTGAAATTTTGGGGTGGGTTTCATGCTTTAGGGTTTAATGCATTAGAGTAGATTACCCAAGTTGATAAGTTCAGAGATTGGGGGAATTTTCAGGAGTTAGTAGATATGTTGCTCAATAAAAATCCTTGGGTTTGATCAACAGAGCTAGAGATAACTAAGGTTATAGCATGGTAAGGGGACGAGAGATTTGGGAGCTAACAATCAGAGGAGAGAAAGTTCGGGGGTTTTTAGCCTAAGCATGAGAAAGAAAATAGAAGAGAATTCTTCTACGAATACCCAAAAAATATGAATACACTAATTCTTTTTCAACATGGAGTACTTGAGGAAACCTCTTTATACATGTATTTAGCAATATTGATGTAGCATATTGTTCAAATTTAGGCAATGCATGATGATTGATGATAAATTCGACCAAAAGAAGCATAGTTGATTATAATAGAGCATCATGGTCATGGATTTCCCTATTATAAATGAAAATTTAAAATGAGAATTCTCCTTCTCTAGAAGGCAATTTAACTTACTAGCTACTGGGCTTCTCTTGATTTAATCCATCCTCTGATGCACCTTGTAGTTGAGATGTTCCTCCAACTAATGCAAAATTACATAGAAGCTACATGTGGCATGTGGATTTCTCAATAGTATGCAGAATCATCTTTTAATCACAATGAGGGTGCAAAAATCTATGCTTCTTTACATCAATTAAAAGTACCCTAAAGTTATCGCCAATCACTTGGTTTAATGGTTTCCTTTGATTACTAAAGTGGAGGTGTAAGGCTCGAATCCTTGCAAACAAAAAAAAAAGGTGAATGAAGGTTTGAGTGAAAAGCAATATCTTCAATCTTCATGATGACTTTGAAGGTCCATAAGAAATGTATTAAGCTTTCTTGCTCTCCTTAAGCCTCATCTTCTTTGGATGTAGCAACACCATGCCAACTTTTCTCTATCATGAACTATTAGACCAAAAGGATTTCAATTCCCTCCTCACTACAACTAGCCTTCAATGAGATTGAGATTTCCATATCAAATGTGAGGTGTGGTAGGAAGTTGAGTGATAATTGTTGGAAGCGAGGATGCTCAATTTTATGAAAAACAAGATTGAGATTTTCATATCAAATGTGATTTGTGATAGAAAGTTGATTGATGGCATGGTGAAAGTGAGGAGGCTCAATTTAATGTAAGACCATTTTTGATACCTTGATCAAGGTGAGAATTACTTTCATTTAGTTTGCTTGAATTTATAAAGAAAATGGAGGCAGCTTGTGTTAAAACTCTTCCAAAGATGGAATGAAAGCAATGAATTTGGCCACAAGAGAGAGTGCGTGACATCGCAAATATAGAGGGAAAGAAGTGATCGCCAAAGTTAGGCTCAAATAAAGAGGAATGAACCAATTTCCACATCAGAATAGGAAGATGAAAGAATATTGAGTGAGGAAAGGATATTGAGTGAGAAAAATAAAATATTGAACCAAATATGTGATGCACCTTTTGGTGTACTAAATAGAATTTTGATGAGAACTCTATAGTTAAGTGCACTCATAATAGAGCAAACCTAAGATGGATGATCTCTTGAGAAATTTGAACAAAAATGGTTAAAATAAGAGATTCAAATGGTATGGGATGAATAAAGCCATAGCAAATAATGCCTTGCATATTGTGGGGTGGACAATTACAAAGGGGTCAAGAGAGAAGATAAAGAAAGAGAAGAGAAACAAAGAGAATATTGCTAGTCACATCTTGGATGAAAGAGACTTGGAGGCAATTACAAGCAATATTTTTCTATTAATCATCAATGAAATCAGCTTTAAAGCATCCTACACTTATTAAAAAGAGTTTACATATAAGAATATTAAGAAAATGAAATATAGCTAAAACAATTGACAATATAGGATGGCTGCATGATGAAATTACAAGAAGAATATACGAATAAACTCATTGTAGCTAGTTGTGTAGTTGATGAGTTTGATTGTTGCTCACCAGTTAAAAACGTCGAGCAAGTTCCAAACTAAGAACGAATACTCTTGACAAGTTTTTTTGGTGAGAGCCTCTAGTCAACTAGAGAGTATTCTAGACAAATAGTTGAATCCTTAAGACGGTAGACTTGCCAAATAAGCAACTTTATGAGCCCTTTGGGAGCATTCAATGCTCGATTTTGTGTACTAAGTAAGGGATGTTTCTTAAGTGATTTGAAAAAATTTGAATCTAAGTAGCTCAAGGCTCTTGGTGACTTCTGACTTCACAAATTCCAAGTTATAGAAGATTCAAGCTGGTCCGAAATCAGTAACTTTTAATCTGTTTCAGGATCTCATAACAACTTGATCAACCTGACTCAAATGAATATGGGTGTCAACATTAAGCGTTGTAAGAATAAATTGGTGGCTTCAAAAAAGAAACAAAAAAGCACCAAATAATATGTTCAATATATATCTGAAAACTAGTGCCTCCATATCAAAGAAGGTTCTGGCAATTGCTCTTATCAAAATTAGCAAGTTATCCAAGGGAATGAGGCCCTTAAAGGATATAAGAACAGAGATCCTGCATGGCCTAAATATTATTTCTTCATGATCCACTAATCATGAGGAAACAATTGAAATGTTTTGCTATCTTGAGTAGGAGTAGACCTAGAAACCCTGAAAAAAAAAAAATTTTCCTTAGTAAAATAAGCATTTTAATTATTTTGCCTTAAACCCCCTTAATAAATATATTTGTCAAAAGTTTTAAGATAAAATTTCTTTTATATTTCACCATTAAGATTATGCAAATCTTAACCCTATTTTGCAGACCCTCAAAGGAAGGTTGATTCCGCCCATGATCTCGAGTTCATGCAAATAAAATGGCAATGCATTGACTAGAGGCATCTCACACGCAATATACCTGCTGATAAAAGCAGTGGAATGAAGCTCAAGTCATCATATCATGGTATTACCTGCCTTGACAAGTGCATCCCAGAGCTCCTCAGGCAAGATGCACCCATTATGCTCAACGTCAATGGCCTGGAAAATACGGTAGAGCTCCAGCTCCTTGTCATCCATGTAACGTCTAAACTCCAGGTAATCCACGCGGCCGTCGCGGTTGGCATCGCAGACCTTGAGTAGATCCCTGGCGTACTTGTACTCGGCGGGGATATGAAGAGACAGCAGGCCGGCTTCGATCAGTGCGTAGTCGAGGTAGCCGACATTGGCAGTGTCGAAGAAGTTAAAGAGGCTACGGATCCGGACCTCCCTCTCCTCCTTACTTTCCCTGAGGGCGAGCAGCACATGATCCATGGACACAGGACCAGGTTTCTTCACTGGATTACACCCGCCGCCGTCGTTAGAGCGTCGATGATGCTCCCCATCAGCAGCCGTCCCCTCCATTTTGTTCGCCGGGAAGGCGGCGATGCGCTGTTCAATGGCCTGGCTAGCGCCTGACATCCTCTAGAGTGGTGTCAGGCGGGACCCAATAAAGAAGGCCCCAGCAACAATCCGAGTTCAATAACGGAACAAAAATATAAATATATATTTCGCTAAATTCTGGAAATTGATCAATGTATGGAAGAAGACTCGGCCTTTATTCCTCTTATTTTCTCTTTTACCCAAGGTATTTCAAATTGGAGCAGAAAGGAGCACAACGGAGCAGATTTTAGGTGAGGGGCAGAAAGCTCGAAGTCGCCGGAACTTGGTAAGATGCTGCGGAGGCTGCCGAACGCAGCAACAGAGGTAGAGGGCAATAACTGGACTGTCTCGCGAGGCTGAGGCCACTGCGATTTCGTCGTCATCTCACACGCTATTCAAATCGATCCATCTCCTCATCGCCGCATGTAGTTTGGAAATTAATGAGATATCGTACTATACTGCGGAGTCGAGATGGTGAGCGATCAACCTTCGTAGGTTAAGGAAGTCGATGAATCGAAAGAGGAAGAGATATACAAAAGCCTGTCGAAGTGCAGGGCAGAAACGAGTGGGTGTTCTTGTTTTATGTTTTTTTTCGTGTTCGCAATCTTTTTTATAGGCGAACCATTCTAAAATGCAAGTTTTTGGTTTTACTCAATGGTTCTCCTTCAATCACTCGACTCATTGGTTCTCCTTCAATCACTCCGTCATAAATCAATTTATAAATACTACTATATAATGCACGTTTACCATATGAATAAAATTTAAAAAACTAAAAATATATGAGAAAATTAAAAAATAATTTATCATATACTATATATATATATCATCAAATTTAGGTTCATTTCATCTATCTTTACTCAAAATGCTAAGAAATATTCTTTTATAGATAAAAAGTCATGTTTTAAAAGAATTTATAGTGCCACAAATTGAGAAAAAATATAATAATAATAATAATTGCAATTATTTTTAATGGCAGTAGGAAATTAAAAATAATGCTAAAAGTCATTGATGAAAATGTAGAATAGGTTAAGTAAAATCTTAAAAAAGTTCAATAACAAGTACATCAAAATTTTTCTTAATAATAAGAAGCAAAATATCATAGTGCATCATAGATGATATTTATTAAGTTTTATATGATATATAAACTTTATTAAAAATTGTATAATAAAAATAGATTGATTGTCATAACAATCATAAGCCCACCAACTAGTCACGAAATATAGCAGTTGTTAAGTGAAGATGAAAGAAAAAAATACAGTATTTGCATTGAAACTATCTATATGCAAATGGAACCTTGATAGAGATAAAAACAATCATATTTTATCACTCTATAAAGGCCTCCTTTCATGTGTATGATATGATTCAAAAGCATCACTCAAATCATAAACCTTTATATTTTCTAAACCTAAATCAAGCTTGAAGTTATGTGGTCGCTTTGCCTTATCCATTTTCTAAAAGTAATATATATCGTATATGTTGCATCCTGGAGTATTTGCGGTGGTAGAAAAATATAAAATTTAACGTCTTAACTTTCTACGAAGATCCGACACGCAATCAGATAAGAGAGATGGTGCAGCATTTATAAGAGACACCAAAATTTTTACCTGAAAAACTCCTAAAAAGGGGGAAAACCACGAGGCCTAGCCCAATTTGAATGAATTCACTAGTATTTGCAGCTGCTTACAAATGAGGCCCTTCCTTGAGGGGGAAGGCCTTGGCTTGATGTACATCATATGGAGTACATTAAATGGTGGGAATACAAACAATCAATGTTGACGTGTTCATTTGGTCATAAGGACCATAGTCTGATGACGAAGGTCAGAAGGATTGATGACGAAGGTCAGAAGGATTATAGTTAATGGGTGACGTAAGTCGGAAGAACCGTAGTCAGCGGGCGACGGAGGTCAGAAGGACTGTAGTCGGTGGGCAACGTAAGTCGGACGGGCCATAGTTGGCGGGCGACGGAGGTCAGAAGGACGGCGTCAGGTAGAAGTCCAACAATGGACAGAAATCCATCATCGAATAGATGTCTGGTGAAATTTCGATAACGGGCAAAAGTCCAACGTCGGGTAAAAATCCGGCGACGACCGGAGGTCAAGCGTTGGGTAGAAGTCTGACGTTAGTTGGCGGCCGAGGAGAACTCTAATGTTAAATTGTATTCAGACAAAACTCTATAGTCACTTGGGGATCTGATAGAATTCCGGCGTCACTTGAAGATCGGGTGGAGTTTCGGCGTCACTTGGAGATTAGGCGGAGTTTCGACGTCAGTTGAAAGTTGGGCGGAATTCCAGTGGTGTTAGAGGAGGAGTTTCTTCTCTCCTTCTCTTCCTTTTTTCTTCTACTCTGATGTACTTCTTGCTTCAGTCCCCTCTTAAGAGAAATAAGGGCCTATTTATAGTTTTTTGAGAGTGGCATGACCCATAAATAGGAGGAGGATTAAGGAAAAATGGGGAGTGGATTGGATGGATGATCGATATTGAATCTCTTGATCGTGGATTGTTCATCAGACATTTACAGGTCTTAATGATATCAGAATTCAGCGATCTTAGGCTCATTGGATTTGTCTCGTCGAGCCACTATATTCGACTATAAGAATGTCATATTTAGAAACCGTTTGGTAATCCAATTCATGGCTTGAACCATCCAACAGCACTTTGAGTCTTCAATTTGGGCCCATTTGGGCTCAAATTGAGTTGAATTAGGTGTCGTTGGGTTTCTATTTTCGAGACGCTCAGTTCGACTATACGTTTGCAGAAATTGAAGTTTTGGATGATCTTATATTTAATTTTTGAAGTTTCCAACTTGATTTTTGCCTCAAGATTCATGTTCGATCAAGATAATTTTTTGATGATATATCAATTTCCCCCCTATTTCCGGATGTCGAAGCTCCAAAAGTCCAAAGATACTTGTCTCAATATTTTACATTGGTCGAATCGCAAAAATTTGCATTCCAAAAATTAAAAACTTGCTCAAACTTGGTCATAGAGACCCCATTGAGCTTCAAAAGTATCAAAATTAAGTCAGGAATGTCGAAAAACGTATATGGGGACCCAAAAAATGTCCGATCTGGACCTTCCGGGCTAAAAATTGAGCCCAGACAAGTATAGGCGGCCGAATCGACCGATCGCAGCCTGCTGCCGACAGTGGCTCGCACACCGCATGTGAATAGGCAAGCCTGTTAGAGGCACGCGATTAGCCGCGTAGTTAATGATATAATAGTTTTATTCAAAAAATTCAAACGTAAATCGGAAGGACCATAATCTGGTGACGGATGTCATAAGGATTGTAGTCAATGGGTGACGTAAGTCGGAAGAACCATAGTCGGCGAGCAACAGAGGTAAGAAGGATTGTAGTTGATGGGCAACGTAAGTCTGAAGGACCGTAGTCGACGGACGATAGAGGTCAGAAGGACGGCGTCATGTAGAAGTCTAGTAATGAAATGAAATCCATCATCGGATAGATGTCTGGTGAATGTTCGACAACAGGAAGAAGTCCGACGTCAGGTAAAAATTCGGCGACGGGCGGAGGTCCAACATTGGGTAGATGTCTGACGTTAGTTGGCGGCCAAGGAGAACTCTGGCGTTAGATGGTATTCGGGCAAAACTCTAGAGTCACTTGGAGATCTAATGGAATTTCGGCGTCACTTGAAGATCGGGTGGAGTTTCGGTGTCACTTGGAGATTGAGCGGAGTTTCAATATCACTTGAAAGTTGGGCGGAATTTCGGTGGTGGTCGAGAAGGAGTTTCTTCCCTCCTCTTCCTTTTTTCTTCTATTATGATCTACTTCTTGCTTCAGTCCCCTCTTAAGAGAAATGAGGGGCTATTTATAATTTTTTTAGAGTGGCATGATCGTAAATAATAGGAGGATTAAGGGAAAATGGGGAGTGGATTGAATGGACGGTCGATATTGAATCCCTTGATCGTGGACCTTTCATCAGACATTTGAAGGTATTAATGATATCAAAATTTAGCGATCTTAGGCTCATTGGATTTGTCTCATCGAACCACTCGATTCGACTATAACAATGCCATATTTGGAAACCGTTTGGTAATCCAAATCATGGCTTGAACCATCCAACAGCGCTTCGGGTCTTCAATTTGGGCCCATTTGGGCTCGGATTGAGTTGAATTTAGTGTCGTTGGGTTTGTATTTCCAATACACTCAGTTCGACTATAAGTTTATTGAAATCGAAGTTTAGATAATCCTATATTTAATTTTTTTTAATTTCCAACTTGATTTTTGCCTCAAAATTCATGTTCGATCAAGATAATTTTTTGATGATATATCAATTGCCCCCCTATTTTCGGACGTTGAAGCTCCAAAAGTCCAAAAATACTTATCTTAATATTTTACATTGGTCGAATCGCAAAAAATTTCATTCAAAAAATTAAAAATTTGCTCAAACTCTATCATAGAGACCCCATTGAGCTCCAAAAGTGTCAAAATTAAGTCCGGGACATTGAAAAACGTGTTTAGGAACCTAAAAATGTCTAATTTGGACCTTCCGGGCTAAAAAATCAAGCTTAGGCAAGCGTAGGAGACCAAACCGGTCGTGCTTGTTAGGGGCACGCGGTTAGCCGTGTTGTTAATGATATAATTTTTTTATTCAAAAAATTCAAACAATTCCAAAAAAAATCCATAAAAATTTCAAAAATTCCAAAAATTTTTAGAAAAATCCAAAATATTTCAGAAGATTATCCTTTCCCAAAAAATGTTATAAATAACCCCTTGGGCCAAGGGAAAAATTGCTCATTCGTCTTTCTTCTCCCTCCGACTTTCTTACAGTTGAGGCTTTCCATTATTTTTTCATAGGTGACTTTCCCTACGCAAAATCAGTGCCCCTCTCCTTGTATAGATGTTAATTTTTGTAGCATTTTTTTCCTTTCTCCCCCATTTTCTTTTTGCTCCAGAGGCCTTCGACTATTTTTAATAGGTGACTTTCCCTACTTAAATTATGTGCCCCTCTTTATTGTAGAAGGAAATTTTTGTAGCCTTTCTTATCATTTCTCTCCTATTTTCTTCTTACATAAGAGGCATTCCACTATCGAAGATAGGTGGCATCCCATATCAAGCCTTAGTGCCCCTCTCTTGTGTAAAAGGAGATTTTTCCTTCCTTTTTTCTTTTCATGTGTTCTTCTTCTTACATTGGAGGCCTTCGACTATTGGAGATAGATGACACTCCCCTATTAAGCTTTAGTGCCCTCTCTTGTATATAAGAAGCCATTATGAAAGTTTGTTCTCTCCATTAAACTATCATTGACAAAAGAAGGTCAAATGATTATTGCATTCAAGGGTGATTTGAGAAGATCTGGTGGCAATAGTACTCGGGAGGAGAACCAAAATTTTTAGTAGATAGGGAGAATTTCAACGTTATTTGAGCTGAAGTCTATTAGTGATGACGGTCGAGTTGAAGTCTATTGGAAGTCAACGACCGAGTGTAGAGTTGAAGGAGAGTCCGAGGGTGTGATACTATCAGTAGTTGAGTGAGAAGATGAAGATGACATATATAAAGTGATGGACCATCGATAGATATCAAATAAATGGTCGATAATGGCGGGTGTCCAGTGACATTTTGTTAAGGCAATATGCATCCATACTGAAGTGTACCGACAT